CTGAAGTTACTGAGGCAGCTTCAACATCATTGATGAGCTCTGGATTAGAGTCCTTGGAAATCTGTCACTGTTTCTAGCACAGGAGGATGCCTACGCTCCCAAGAGCAGGTGCAGAGCCTTACACACAGAGGACTCGCTTGATTCTGCTATACAGGGACAGTTCCACTTCCTAGGTAGGGGTGAACTATGCCTAGTTCCAGTTCCGTGTTATTTTGCCCATTTCCCCAAATTTCAGCAGGTTGAACATTTAAACCATTGCTGCCCCTTGTCTTGGCTTGCTTGCTTAAGAAGCTGTCCATCTGCTGGCTATTTGGTGGCCATTATCATGTGACAGAGGGGAAAAGAATAAACAGGGAAGGAATTCTGCAAATAGAAACCAGGAAAAATGGGCAGCGAAGTGAGATTCAAATCAGGGCCTAGGTAGATGGAGATGCCGTTAAAGTTCAGACACTTTCCCAAGAGGCACACATACTAGCTGACCAACCAGCTCGAAACATAAATGTGCAATCACATCTCGCTGATGAAGATCCTTTACTTTTCATGCTTCCACTTGTCCCCAGAATTCCACGCTTCCCAGTCCATAGGCAATGTCCCACTGATTGCTGGGCATTACATAAACCCAGGCACAGAACAGCATTTTCAGTGGGATTTGCACATATGGAGAGCAGCAAATTTGTGCCTAGAGCACATTTATATTTTGAGAAAAATATTTTTCATGTTCACTTATTGGACTAGTAGCAAAACCTCTTACTTTAGAAAGCAAGCTTTATTTATTGGCTTTGTCCTTTACAGAATACATCTTGCCTTTTAGTTTGTTTAGAGATTCTTTTTTTAATTTCCCTTTCTTCTGTAACTATGATTTACCACTAGAAGACACTATTTTTGTATTTACAGATGCAATATATTAAAAGGATTAAATAAGCCTTCATTACAAAAACACAGGCACAGCGCTTTCTTCCTGAGCTACCTTAGACATTGAATATGCATAAGAGAAAATAGTAAAAAAATGTGTAATTTCAGGTAAACAGAAAACTCTCTGTGAAGGTCAAAGGCACAAAATATTTGTTACTAAGTAGAAAGCATTCTTTCATATCGGATAAAAAGGAAACACTTTATTAAATGGTCATTTCTACCCTGTAGTAAGGCTGGCCCATCTTGTCTAATGAAAATGGGAGGATGAGCATCAGTAAAAAGAACCGCTATTCTTGAGCTATGACAGATCCAAAGCTTACAGAAATTAAATGAGCTTTTTTTCTGGCTTTTTTCTTGCTGAAGTGACTTTTGGGACACAGAAAGGTCTCAAATCTTCTCTATGAAGAAGTTGTAATTTTTGCTTTCTTCACTCAGGAAGTCTGACATAAAGACAGGAAAGAAGTTACAGAATGATCAGTCTCTTAAAATATGTATGTGAAGTCACTACAAATTACAAAATGTGATGTAATACAGCAGAACTAACCAGGACATTTTTTTCACCCCATTAGTATTTTTCAAATAAAAAGGTAAGGAATGGCTTTCAGTTGTCAAAGCAATGTCAAAAGCTAATGAAATGCAACGCATCTTCTAGATCAGCAATGTTTTCCCCCACAAAGATTTCTGTTCATCTGGCACATCACATGCTGTTAAAATGGTGCAAAGGGAAGCAATGCAGCTGTGTCCCAAAAGGTCGGTTGGTACCTCCTTAGAACTAATGGACACAAATAGCTTTAGCGATTACATGTATTACTACCTTATCATCACTGCACATCATCTGCTGTTTGAGTTGACAACCCTACCAGGATATCTTGCTCTTACCAGGAGAGGTGAGACCAAACATTTACATTAAAAAAAAAAAAAAAAAGATTTAAATCAATAAGGATTTTATAAGAGACGGTTGCAATGGCCAGGGATGTATGCTCTCCAGCATGCAAGCCCATCCCTATCGAATGCAACCATCTCCATGCAGCCAACTGCTGCCTCTGACCTCCGCACCCCAGGAGGCTCTCAGGCTGACTCAGTTTTAAGGGGGTTGTATTAACAGATGACCTTAATGAATTTCTGAAAGACACCACTGTCAGTCAACTAATTAGGACCCACTTACAGCTGAGTGTGCAAACATGAGTGCTGCAGTCTGTCCGCATGGTTGCAAAACACAGCTGCTCTGAACAAGAGCTGCTGTCTGGCACAGAGGACGGCTCTAGCTGTCCCCACTGCCAGGCACACTGGATTTCAGTGCACCTATAAAGCCAGGGAGGTGGCAACTTTAGATTTGAGGCACCTTGTGATGGGACATTACAAACTGCTCTGTTACGCTATCTGCTTTGCTGTCTCAGCGCTATGTGCTGACATTTCCTCATGGAGGTACTTGCACAACATGCTCCAGAGCTGGTAGCACCCACACTTCTCCGAATACTAGGAACCTAATTTTTTCTTTGGAAAATGCTGCGTGCCCAGCATATAAAACAACACCATGCCATCACCCAAAAACACTCAACCAGCAACAAAAAAACCCCCTTGTATAAACTCTTCACAAGGATGTGAGAGAACTTCCTACCCTGGTGACTGCTCATTTTTGCCCACACACTAAACACAATAGCTTACACCTTTTTCCACTGCGCTTTCTTGAAAGGAAGAGTATGTGCTACAGGAGAGCCGGCTCATCCTGTAATTGAGCTTCCCACGGATCACCTTGCAGTTACATGTTCATATGCCCTTGTCCTCAGGTGCCTAATTGGGAAACACCTGGCTTGGACAGCCTAATTCTCACAGTGCCAAGATAAGACCAATAAATATTTATAACTCTACTGAGAGGAAAGGAGAACTGTTTGTGTGACTTGCTACAGGCTCACAGCCTGACTCAGTTGCAGGGCCAGGATTAAGTTTTAGGAGTTCCCCACTCCCAGGTCTGTGGTCAGCTTACCGGCCTGTGCATCGTCAAGATTGTTGCCTCATGCCACGCCACAGAGGAATGGTGAAATGCAGTTTTCCATGCTGTTATGATTCACCTAACCTTTTCAGATTTAAAAGGTACAACAGATTGGTAACATAAGCTTTACAGAGAGCTTTCATTTTTTAAGCAATCAGTTCCCATCTCCAATGTTTCACCAAAAGTGTGGTCAGTTTTCCCATTTGAGCCCACAACAGAATGCTTAAAAGTTTCATATCCTGTATTTTTAGTACCTTTCAGGACTAAAAGCTATGAAACAGCAAAGCATACAGAGAATCAAACCCTCTCTTTCCTCATGGAACAAAGAAAATCCTCACCATCAGCAGACAGAAGAGCTTTTTGTAGATGTCCATGTAAGTCATGGGAATGACTTACAAGGCTTTGACCCAGCATATCCACGTAGCAGTCCATCACTTACATGACAAAGATTTTCAGTTTTGCCTATGTGAGAAGGGATTAGCTTCATATTTCTATTTCAGAATTGATTGAATACCAATTGATTCAGCAATCTGGATCTACATGCTTAAAACAATCAAACAGATCTATCTACAGAAAGATTTTATATTAATAAAGTATAATACATTGCCTGCTTTTCTTCCAAAATTATCTGCAATGCTTCCCATAAGTTTTGATTCAATGCCATGAGTACATGTATGAAATAATTTATTCTCACATTTACTAATAAGCTTTAGTCCCAACACACACAAGAATCCAATTTCTTCTGTTTGGTCAGCCGTTATTCCACTTTATCCCTTGATGCTGGTATGCAAAAATGAAGGCACATTTCCTTTGGTGCATGCATGCTACAACACTGACATCACTCTAGTCTAACACACCAGCAGCTTTTAAACATGGAATTCATGGCATGATAACATCCTAGTGTTTCCTTCAAGATGGGATTTACCGTGTAGTCAAATAAAGCTTGCCTGAGCAGCTAAAACTGGTCTACACTAAATGGGAGCACTCAAATCACCTGCCTTAAGACTCCTGCGGGCAGTGACACTATCAGATTAGAATTACAGCTTTCGACTAAAAAGGAAACTTGTGACTGATGTGCAACATGAGAAAAGACTCGGTACTATGTGGTGGCAGAGCTCGTGCAGAGGGCTATGTAGGTGCTTATCAGCAGTGTAGTAAAAATGCAAGGATCGGTACTTTTCTCCTCCTGAAACAGATAATTGATCTTCTCAGGAAAGCTGCAGGACCACAAGAACATTTACTGTGACTTTCAGGAACCAGCAGAACATGAGCCTGACCTTGAGAGCTTGATGCTCTGGCCAAACCATGCTGCTCTGTAAAGCTCTGGGACCACCCAATTGATGTCATCTTGTTGACGGGAATACACACAGGGAAATATCTCCTCTTCCCTCAAAGAACAGTGGCTCTACTTCAGCCCTCAAAAACTCCACCATAAAAGATAAAAAGGGTGTTGCCTGAGTACTGCTCTATCACAGTGCCCTGTGGTTGCCTTATTCATAGAACGGGTGGAACAAGAAAGTGATTTTGATTTATAGCACCCATTTTTTTTTCTGGTTTGTAACAAACATGGCCCAACCAGTACAAGCAGTCTAGCTCCAGGATGTTCAGAGCTCTCTTGCCCAACAGGTTCAATACTTGGCTCCATCGTCTGCATGAGAAATGGGCAGTTCAGGCAACCCTTAAAAATAAATACCTACAGCACTTGGAAAATTATTAGGTTCTCAATTCCAAGGAGGATTAAAAATTAAAAAAAAAGAAGAAAAATGCTACACATTCCCATTGCAGAAAATTTTCAACCACTATTTCATACCATGTCCCCAATATTCTCCGATGACTGAGAAGGAACAATATAATGAAGAAACCCTTGCCTAGGCACTTTCAGTAAGAATCTGGGCAGACATCTCTTTAAAGAGACTGACATATATCCTAATTGCTTTTTATGAGTCGATGAGAAGCTCTACAATTATCATGTGTATTTTGATCTTCACTGATACTTAACAGCTTCAGGACATTACACACTGCACTGTACCTGCTGTAAGCTTATTCCTTTTCTATCCTGTTATTAATCATTCTCCTTTTTGAACTTGCAGCGTCTCCCACTCCAGCCACCAAAATGGAAGAAAATGCCAACACCAGCTTTGAAGAAGATTTTGAAGGACAGGCAACACACACAGGCAAGGAAACTAACTGCATTTTTTCTAAAAATAAGCTAAATGATCCCTGCTCACTGGGGAAGCCCAGAATTCGAGTAGGTCCAAGTGGTTTGCCAAACCCCTTGCACAGAAATGTAGCCTCCAAAGCCAATGAGAATGTTATTTTGGAGTAAGTGACACCCCTCACAGAAGGGCAGGTAACACCAAACTGATCTTTGTGCCAATCCTCCTCATGCCTGAAGCAAATGGCAAATGCAGAAGGCACCTGAAGAAGCCACCAACAGTAATGGCCCAATGCATCTCTTGTTGGTTTATTGCTTCAGTCATGAACAATGGCCTTTCTTCTTCTGGAGAAAAAGAGAAGAAAACAAAAGAGCAACAAAAACCACACTCACATGCTGGAATTAGGTTGTAAAGTTTCACTATGAAAGCTCAATTATTTTTTCCTTCTTACAGAAGGACCATTCAGTGCTAAAAGTGTACCTATAAATCCTTTTGGCAAACACAGCATAGCATTTAAAAGTATCCTTGCTCAGAATGACTTTTTTTTTTTAACCCAGCACTCAGTCACCATGATTTTATGAGAACTGACATTGTATTCAGCTCTACAGACAGGTATCACTTTTTTCTGTGCTGTAATAAATGTAGCTCTTGTAATAACTCTTTGGGGTTCTTTCCCAACCAGCTTTGCTGCTGTTGGCTAAGATTATCATATATATATATTTTTAGGGACTCAAATGTCGGGTGCTACATCCACACTCAGGCCTCAAAATAGTTTTGGAAATTAGGCTACTGCATACTTAATCACTATCTCTATGCCAAGAGGTTCAGGCTAATTCCTGCTTTGGAATCTTGTTTGAAAAAGATCAGTTCACCTTCCCTTTCCACTGATGAGTGTAGTGCCTTAAGCCACCACGTCAAGATTTTGAAATTTAGTTCGAAACAGATTCTTAGCAGCTGGCAGCAGCACATCTATCTCATGAGAGGGAGAGCCGCTTACCTAGCCTTTCCTAAAATTCCTAAACTTCATCTCTGAAAACACAAAAAAATTCCTTGGTTTTTCTTTGTAATCTGAGATGCAGATTAAAATGTTTGATTTTGAAAAGTACCACTGGGATTTCAAATTGAAAAGACAGGTTTTGACATCCTCATCCTTGTTAACTACTCACATAGTTCACTAAAATCCTTTTACAGACTCCTGATATGAACCAGACCACCAAAGTGATCCAGGTTAGGGCTAATGTAACACATTGGTCCCACAGCTTTGGTTTTCAGCTCTCCCGGAGAATGGTCTGGAAGGAAGAGGAGTAGATGGATAAACTGTGCCACAGAAGGACAAACCAGCAAAGGGCAGAAACTTCTCAAGACAGCTTCATGTTGAGCCAGTTTCTCACCCAACTTCTTCTTTCTTAGGGCCCAAAGGTGTGATCAATGACTGGAGGAAGTTTAAATTAGAAAGCGAAGACAGAGACTCCTTATCCTTGAGCAAGAAAGAAATTCTTAGACAAATGTCTTCACCACACAGATCTTTCAGTAGATGTGATAAAGACTCCAAAGAAAGATTCTGCCGTAAGGTAAGACAAGAAAAGCATAATAAAGTCATTTTGATTCTGTACAAAACATACCAGTTATAAGCTAGAAAACCATGAATTTGCCAGACTCAATTCCTTTGCAGTTTAGCAGAGCTCACACAGTATGGACAGAACAAATGCATGTCCAACCATCTATCTAGGCCTCTCTCCAGCGAAGTCTAACTTCAGTAAAATAAACAGTGTATTTCACAACAACAACACAACACAGAGTTTGACCGTTCTTCCTCCATCCCCTACCTTGGTGCTCTATCCTTGGTTAAGGCAACTGAAAATTTTTAACATTCTTAAACTCCTGCTAGTCAGGACAGAGCTCTGAGCCTGAACATCACTCATTACCATTTACAAGTTCTGGAAGGGGGGAGACCCAAAATCCCCAAAACCACAGGAATTAAACTTTAACCCCACTGCAGTCACTGGCAAAATTCCCACCAACTCTGGAAGATCCAGAAGTTTTTGCCAAATATGGCAAATGTCTTCCATACTATCAAGTTGACATGCAAGTGTTGAGACAGGATCTTCACCTGTCTTTTGAAGAGACCTTCCAGAGTCACTGTAGGAAGTGACTGCTCTTCTGGCTAGGCTTTCAATGCAATGCTCTTTAGACAACAACTTAGTCTCTTCCTGTTTCAGTGCCAACAGATGACCCTTTATTAATATAACATTCTCTCAATATTCACAGATGAGCATGAAGGAGTATGAATTAATTCATGATGAGCAAGAAGATGAAAGCTGCCTACAAAAATACCGCAAACGCTGCATGCAGGATATGCACCAGAGGCTGAGTTTTGGGGCAAAATACGGTTATCTGTGTGAGCTGCAGAATGGGGAACAGTTCCTGGAAGCCATCGAGAAAGAACGTAAAACTACCACTGTCATTGTCCACATTTATGAAGATGGCATCAAGGGCTGCGATGCTCTTAACAACAGCTTGACCTGCCTGGCAGCCGAGTATACCACCGTGAAGTTCTGCAAGATCAAGGCCTCCAACACGGGGGCTGGAGACCGCTTCTCAAATGAAGTGCTTCCCACTCTACTTGTCTATAAGGGTGGGGAGCTTCTGAGCAATTTCATTAGCATTTCTGAACAATTCAATGAGGATTTTTTTGCTGTGGATGTGGAGTCTTTCCTAAATGAGTATGGGCTGCTACCTGAAAGGGAGCTTCCAGCACTGGGAAATGGTAACACGGATGAGCAAGATGTTGAATAATTAGAGAGCCATAATCCCATCTCCCTTTCCTCTTCAGTATGTTGTAAATCAACCTCAGTAACACCCATCTCATTTAGAGAAGGCTGTCTTTGCTAACTTATTTGTAAGATACACATATATAAACATTGCTTGTCTGAATTTTACTTAAAACACACTCCTGTACATTATTTCTATGCCAGCCACAAGTAATAGGAAGAACAGGAGACGATACTGGTGATGTCTAAGAAATTAAGGGGAAAAAAATTGAAAATAGAGGGCCCATGTGTGTCTCCATTAAGCACAAGAACTTAATTTCAACAGGAACAGGGCTGATCCATCCTTCTGCATGCACAAAAAGCCATCTCTGTGCTCTGGAATTACAGCGAGTCCTGGTTCCTCAGATTCACTTCTACCAACTTCAGTAGCAACAAGATTTCATCTAGCAGTTTTAAGGACAAATAGCCCAATGTCCTTACATTCCTAAATGGCTTAGATATCTAGGATATTATTTTATGCTTCTGCATTTAACTTTCAATATTCATGAAAATACAGAAGTTAGCTCAGTGCTTCTATACATGTCATCCAAACAGCTGACACAGACACATTATTAGCTCATTTCAGTTCATTGTTACTCCATAATTTGAACAGTAATATTTAAAATGTCTGCATATTACTGAAAAAGTATATTGTGCTTATGTAATAACTCTGAATAAAGCTTAACAGCTCTCAAAACCTGCCACTGGAAGTGTGAAATATATTGCTAATATATAACCTTAACCTTAAAAACATGTGAAATATTAGTAAGCACTCATTAGACAGTTACTAAACACAAAGATTTGTTTTGCTAAAGGGATGCTGCTGAGAACTACAATTTAACAATCCGGCTGAGAAGAAGACACAGGATAAACTCACTATAAACCTTCCTCTCTCTCTCTGTATGTGTAAAAAAATCCACGTCCTCCAGTTCTAATAAAAGACAATGAAACATTAGAAACATTTAAATGATTTCTTTTGCACACTGGCAAAGCTGGAGGCTGAATTTTACTCTGAGGACAGAAATATCTGTATCTTAACTGCACACAATTTTGGTGATAACATCTGAGATTATCAAAATGTTAAAGATTATTTTCAGTCCTCACATGACTCACCAGTTTTTATTTGATTTGATGGTTTCACGTTTTGCTCACTTTGGAGTAGAAGCTTTCAGCTTTGCTTCGGGTCAGGGTCCCACCATGGAAATGTCACTCTGCAAAATTCTGCATACTGATCAGTAAGAATTCAGAATTGAGTGACCAGTACCAAGCAACCATTACTGCAGTGATATAACCCACACATTAAAAGCAGATCCTTATCACTGTTTTAAGCACATTTTTTTCACTTTTCCTTCACACGGAAAATTCACAGGGGCAGCTGAAAGTTATACTACTTTCCAACAGATCTACACAACAAAATAATTCTACTCGAAAAGATTTGGGAAATATAACCCTTCAAAACATTACTGAAGGAGTCATAAGATACCCTTTCAAACAAAATTATTTAAGCAGAACTTATGCCTGGTTTAAACAATGGCCAAAAAAAAAAAGAAAAAAAATTTTTTTTTTTTGGTCCAATTTTAGGGACAATCAAAATGCTACTGAATTTCTACTTTTTATGTTGTTTTGTCATGGATCAATATTTTAACAGAACACTAGAAAGCTCACCTCGTGTACACTAAGCAGTATGAATGACGTTCTCTATCATCTCTTAACAATGTACAATCATCTTCAACCTGTAAAACAACTAATGATTTTATTCCACCAAAAATTTGAACAGCATTTTCCCAAAATGTTATGATTTGTTTTGTAAATTTCTGAATGTGAGAATGTCATAAGTTTTTCTGATGGAACTCCAAGTGGAAGAAAGCTTTTCCCTTAGAACAGTCCTTTTTCCCCTTACTCAAGCGGGATATTTAACCCTCAGCTAAAATCACCTTCATCTTAATATTTCATTTGCATCAGTAGGTCAACTCTTTGGAAAGCTACCATTTGCAGATGCACCCAACATTATGAAAATCTCATGATCTTATAACAGGTTACGTAGAAAATAATGAATTATCTTCTATCACAAAGATAACCAGCTCCTTGAGTAGTGGGACAATATTTGTCTTGTATTTTTTTGATTATATGTTTTAAAAAAGAGGCATGAAAAATTTCTGTCCTCTACACATCAGAACATCTCCACATAACTGGTGGGAACTTAACGTTTTTGAGAACTTTCCCTCTTTGCCAAACTTGGTTCAAAATTTATTAGGCTGATCACATAAGCTTCATTTCCTTGAGAAACCAAGCTGAAAGCAAAAAAAAAAAAAAACCCTAACAAACAATAACCAGCAGAGAAACTACATTTACAGCTAGTTGTAAGAAAGCTGACACTCCAATTTAAGAGACAGATTAAGCATGCTTAAGCAGGATTCCCTTCAACCTGTAATTTAAAAAAAACAAAGAAAAAGAAAACACACATGTGACACCAAGCCCCAACAGAAGCTCATGACTAATGAAATTGCAAATGAAGCTCTGATCACAGCAGTCATCCATATTTCTGCATGAAAAAAAACCAAACCTTAACAACAAAAAGCAAGACTTGATTCAAACACTGTACTACTATACAAAGATTCTTGAATAACAAAAAGTAAATGCTTCAATAAGATGGCAGCAGCCTTTCTGCTACCCTTGGCTACGGTTACTCTTCCTTTTGACTCAAAGTCACAAAGACCCTGAGCATCCTCAAATATTCTGATGCAGACAATAATGGGGGAGAGGAGGGAACTAATTATTAGTGGTGTCACTGCTGATCAAACTAAACAGAAGCTCTAGGAGAGGCATGTCTGTTACTGGAATGCGAAATGTCACGCCTCAGATGAGAGGAATTACAAACCTCATTGTACAAGACCACTGAGGCTTTTTAAAACTACATTTTAAAACCACACAGCACAGAAAATAAGGTTTTTGTAAAATTACTCCATAACATCAATCTTACAACTACACTTAGAAGAGCTGGATTTTCAGATGTGGAAGTCCAACAGTTCCTCTAGACTCTTACATATTAAAATGAAAATATATCTGTAGTCATAGATACAAGTTAACAAAGCTCAATTTCAGTCATGATGGGGTTTTCACAAACTGAAAGCTTCCAATGATTATATGTAGCAGGAAAAGGATATACCTATATGAAAGCTGAGCAAAAGTTCAGCATCAATCAAGAAACAGACTTTTAAAAGGTTGCTTTCCTTTTTTCTTACACACACGTTTTAATTTTTCTTAAGGAATTAATTTTCTTACGTTAGCAATGGCTACCAATACAAAAAGGATGGGACAATAAAATTCCCTCTTGGTTAGTTCTGTAATTCTTCAACAAGCAAGAACCTGTTTTCTTCTACATCCACTACTTCCTCAGGGCAGGATGACTGGAAGGCTCAATCTGTAGATACAAGTCAAATTACTCATTTTTTCTTTGACAGGGTTAAATTATTTTCTTATTGCACAGATGGTGGTTAAATGCAGTCTCCCAGTCTCCTGTATTAAAGAAGAAATCTCATCCAAAGAAACTTTTTTCTTGGCTTTCTTCCAACATCAAATTGGAAAATTGGACTTTCACAGACCTTCGATACCTAGTCAGTTATAAGCTAAAGGATTAATATGACGGTCTATAGTATCACCATAAGGAAAAGGATCATTTACTAAACATTGCATAAACTTGCAGGGTGGGGAGAAGAAAACCAGAATTCTTTGCTAGGGGTTCCATGGAATAATACCTCCAAACAAGCTCTACTTTTTACACCACAGGTGCCGAGCAAGAACTACTGGAAGAGTGTTTCATGACAGTTTTCTTCTCTGGTGTAAGATATTTAGCATTTCAAATGTTGTACTTCACTTCTATGGCTGAGTCTTGAGTAATAGAATAACCATTTTGTACTTTTCCCCCCAAAAAAAGAAGAAAACAAAAGCAAGACAAAAAGAGACAAAAAGCAAACTTCTTTCTTCTCATTACTCCTCTGCTCCTCTTCTTAATAGAGACTTTAGCAAAGCAATTTTTAAACGAACCATATTTTGAAGCACACTACAAAATTCATCTAGTTTTCTGGATAGCAGTCAACCTTCCCCACAATCAACTGCATAATGCCATGTTGCCTATTGATTCCACCCATTTCCACAGAACACACATCTATCAAACACACAGCAGCTGAAAACAGTGCCTCCGTTACAACGTTCACTTTACTCTGAGTGGTCTTACTTGAGCAACACTGAGCACAAAATATCAACACTGTGCTCCAAAATACAGTTACAATACTAAAAGCAGATCTTTTTCCAAACATGTAAAAACAGAATACACGGACGAGGCAACAGTATTTAAGACATCTTTCTCTTGGATGCCTTTTATTTAAAGTATCCCAGTACATCCTTGATTATGCTTTAGAACCAAAGTGTTTATAATTTTTCCAGTGCCTTTATACAAAAAAGAAATTTGCAGTGGTATTAAAATGCCCTAAAATCTGGAACTAACATCATATTTCATATACGAATTATCTTTATTAACCTTACTAGAATTCTTCCCTTCTTCCGCTCTCCTCATGGCAAGTAAACAGTAATGTTATCGCCTAACATACCTAGGAGACTATCTATCTCATAATGGAAAGCTATCTGCTTATAGTCTAAAAATCCCGATTAGCGAACAGTTTTGACAACTTGCATGTATCTACAAAATAATCCACAAGGGCTGCCTAGACACAGGTGTTACTAAAATACTTAATATTCCAGGAGAATGGTGATTGAATCAGAGCTGGACAGAGAAATCCTCAGGAGTCACCGAGTAAAAGGCAGCAGATACACATCTCAAAATTTCTACGCATTTTATTGATTTCTGAGTTCTCGAGGTCTTGAACATGCTGAATTGGTCTAGTCTTGAAACTACTAGAAACTATTTGTATACCTATTATACTAGTTAACCTAAAACAATTCATATGGTGAAATGTTGTGTTCATTAAA